AGACAGCCATACTTTCTTTCTGCATTGTTCGACTTACGAAACAAAGATCCCTTATTTATGGCTTGTTGATCTTCAGATGATTCATCAGAACCTTTGCTTTGCTTGTGTTCTTGCGCCGACATTGTATATGCTTGAATAGTCCCCACTGCAGAAAGGTCACGACCGTCTGTCTTCGAATTTATATCTGCAGTAAAATTTTTGCCAACCCATTTAATAACACTAGGCCTACATTTCAAAACACTCACAGAAACATTGCCATTCATTACGAAAACGCGAATTCATTCAGATCGTATGAAGGTTGAATGCCAATACAATTTCAGAAGTAGAAAATAATAGGCACTACTTTAATATCCTTATTACAAAGATACAGTAGTGGTGAATTTCGCACGTGATCTTTTTTCTTTTGTTTGGACAAGCTTCAGTGTAAAATGAAAAAACGAAGCGCGCGAAGAGTGACGGGATATTATTTGCTAGCGGGAGACGTTCAGTGAAATGAATGGTGACAATATAATGAATATATAGAAATAAACATTTTTTCGATACCATTACCATGATCAATCAAATGTACACTTCATTAATGCGTAAATGTATAGATCATCAAAGTTAACCAAATATTGCTAATGATGCATGCGGTCTTTCCGTAAATTTAGTTATGGTTCGACCAAACCTACGCGGCATTCCATTTTTGGATTTGGATTCATGGTGTGTGAAAGGATGTAGGTAGGTTTTCATAGGAAAATATGAGGTTTTCAGGAAGTGTAATCGTTTCCTGGGCCTAGAATTAGATTTTTCGGGATTGCATAAAATCTTAGAAATACAATCGTTTTGATACAACATCTAGGAAAAACATCTACATGAAAAGTGGGTATACTACAACTATATACAAAATATAAACTATCTACACAAACTAAAGGATAGCACTATAGAAACTGGATTATGATATTTCCGAACAGGTCAAGCTATCATCTCATCTTAAATTCATTCAACGTGAGAAAGAGGCATTTGTGATTCATACATTTTAGGCCACAATATATTGTCTGATATTTACATCAGTATTAAAACGGTGCCCAATGAGCGAGGACAGAAGGCATGGTACCAACGCAGCAGAGGAATTACAACAAGCACTAGAAAAGTGGAACAACCAACTGACAGCACAGTATGCGGATGAACAAAGTAAAAACGAAAGTATTGAAAGTCTGAAGAGGATTGCCAAGATTGCGTATCACAGTGGACGGACTGCGAAAACTATCCTTGCATAGTTTAGTTATACAATAATACCACAGAATAAGTCATACAGAAGGTCGACTTCTTTGTTTTTCCTATGATTTTCCCGGCTATGATTTTGGCGTAACCGTAATTCATCATCAAAATGCTGACGCCATGGTCGCAGCCAGTGCGCGTTTGAGAGGCATTCACCCCCTGATAATAGCGAGGTTTAGCAAAGACGACGCGACGTCAACGAGGACGTGAAAATGGCGTAAAAATGGCGTGATATGCCCATCTATGGATGTGCCCACGCCATATTTACGCCATTTTCACGTCCTCGTTGACGTCGCGTCGTCTTTGCTAAACCTCGCTAATATTCAAAATGGCGGACGTTCAGGGGGGGGATGCCTCTCAAACGCGCACTGGCTGCGACCATGGCGTCAGCATTTTGATGATGAATCATGGCGTGGCAGCGGTTACTCGAGTCGACCTTCTGTGTACCTTATTCTGTGATAATACTATTTCTTGTACTTGTAGCCTAGAATTATTTCTGTCTTCAAGGTTAATAACACATTCATTATTTCGCGCGCAATTTTACAGGAATGACACGCATGCAAGTCACTCCTGCTCGCGTCCAGGCTTCGACAACCTTCAGGACACTTTGACAACATGTTCGCAAGGCAAATTTCAGTCAACGTTGACGCATGCGCAGACGTTTCCGGCGGTGTTTATTTTCCACCCCGCGTCATCAGGAGGGAGGAGTTAGATGAAGTTAGTTCATGATGGAGTTAGTTCGTGGAGGGGTTAGATGGGTTAGTTGCTTCCGGTTAGGAGGGGTTAGAGTGGGGGGGGGGAGGGTCAGGTTATCAATGTGTCTGTATGATGATATACGGCGTCATACATAAAAGTGCACCTGTATGATGATATACATTATAGATTCAAGGATGACCGAATGATGATATACATCCGGGATGTATTGCGATGGTATGCAATGAATACTCAGCGAGATGGCCATTTTTTGTGCAATTTCGGGCCCTTTATATCTTAAAGGCTATTTCCAGTTAAGCGACTTTCATACGTGCGTACATCCTTATGAAATAACTAAAGGAATAAATGCACAGCATTTAGTTTTGTGTATGTTTTGTTAAAATTTAGTAAAATTTAAATTTTTTCGTGCGTATTACGTACGCGTGAAAAACGCTTAACTGGAATGCAGTCTTATTATTAAACCATTGCCACTTGTTTGCAGGAACACTCAGACATACGGTAGAAATTCCAGTACATCCTGCCAAATTGATTTAAAATATCAAGTTTAATATTGTCAACCTTTGAACCCACTCCACTATCTCCTTACTTGTACCGGCCGGAATGTGTAAAAAAACTACTTCATAAGAAAATCAGCTTAATGATTCTTCATTCCGGAAATGGGCGGGGGATTTTCAGAGCATGCACATACAATAAGGTTATTGCCTTTCATCCCTTGGGGCGAGGCAGCATTTTCTTTGCGATAGTAACTTCTAGTATGAGGTTATATACTTACCGCCTCTATTGCAGCCAAATCATCGTGTAACTGCTCCTGTTGTTGACGACGCTCTGTTCCTTTCTTTTTGACCTTGATTAATAAAACGAAGAAAATGTTTCAGTTTATATTAAATGTACCGGTTTAACGGACTAAACTTTTTGAATCGTTCAGGCATAAACCTTGTTGTTGTTTATTTTTTTTTATTTTTTTAAGCCGCCGCCATAACTGTCAAATATTTGCTTTTCACCTAAAGTGAAGTAAGGGTATTTTTTTAGGAAAACGTATTGGTCTTGTACGGATTAAAAGTTTAAAACGAAACTAATTAGTGTACTGCGAAAGTACAGATCATAGAACCAAAACATGTGACAAGGTGTTGAAACCACTCGAAACAAAGAAAATCCTTGCGTTTATGAAAAAAAGTGTTTATGTTTTAAAGCTGCTTTCCAGTTATGCGTGGTTTTTCAAAAGCTTAAATCTTTTTAAATATCATAGCAGTACTAATTACCTGAACAACTACACATTAAATGATACAGAAATCTAAATGGTGTCCTTTTAGTCATTTATTTATTTCATCGTCCCGTCCACAATTTCGCAATGTGTATGATGTTGTGCATGTGTCAACGTCACGCGAACTAACAACGGGACAAGTTTCACGGTCAGTCTGGACAAAACATCTGTAATTCATCAATACAAGCCGACATATGGACACACATAATGAACAAAGCACCACATAACGAACAAAGCACCACACAACGAACAAAGCACCACACAACGAACAAAGCACCACACAACGAACAAAGCACCACACAACGAACAAAGCACCACACAACGAAATAAACACCACACAACGAACAAAGCACCACACAACGAACAAAGCACCACACAACGAACAAAGCACCACACAACGAACAAAGCACCACACAACGAAATAAACACCACACAACGAACAAAGCACCACACAACGAACAAAGCACCACACAGCGAACTAAGCACCACACAACGAACTAAGCACCACACAACGAACTAAACACCACACAACGAACAAAGTACCACACAACGAACAAAGCACCACACAACGAACAAAGCACCACACAACGAACTAAGCATCACATAACGAACGAAGCACCGCATATAATAGTAGAAGCACTGCATATAATGATATAAGCACCACATATAATGTCATAAGCACCACATATAAAACACAAAAAAAAAGAAAAGAAATTGATAGAAAATGTCAAAGCTGATAAAACAAAGAAAAATAATGATGCAGGTGCTGACAAGAAAACGACCACCGTTATCGTGGGTGACTCTATAGTCAAATATCTTAATGCTAACAGACTTAAAAGATCAATGCCAACTGGAAATCACAACATACACGTAGAAACATACAGAGGGTCAACTACTGAGGCTATGGCTCATCATATTAGGCCATGCTTAGTCAAGCAGCCGGACCAAATTGTGTTACATGTTGGTACGAACGACATACGAGATAGGCAGCCGGAAGAAATTGTGGATGGCATAATGAAAATGCAAAAGGTTATCAAGAAGGAAAGCCCAAAAACAACCGTGATTGTATCAGAGCTGTTACACAGAAACGACAAAATTGAGTATACACAAAAAGTGAAGAAGGTAAATATGTTAGCTAAAGCATGCAAACAATATAACTGTGATTACATTGAGCACAAAAACATCGAAGACAAGCATTTAAATCCCTATGGATTACACTTAAATAGATTTGGTACTAGTGTGATGGCTAAAAACCTTGTTAATTATTTTAATACAAAGTATATGCATGATTTTGTGAGTCTGTCCCGAAATTGACACAAGGTATATGTTCTCCTTCTCATTCACCAAATGATAATATAAGGGGTAAAACTAATTAATTATCAGGCAATAAGACAAGTAAGGCTAGTGTAACTAGGAAATGTTTAAATAAGGGCTTTAAAATAGCTCAACTTAACATTAGAAGTATTCTTAATAATATTGACGAATTTAGGATGTATGTTCTTAAACATGAATATGATGTTATATGCGTAAATGAAACATGGCTAGACAATAGTGTCAATAACCATGAGATAGACTTAGACGGATACGACCTAATTCGTAAAGATAGAAACCGACATGGCGGTGGGGTAGCGATGTTTATTCGAAACACGATCAATTATAAAATCAGATCTGATATCATGCCAGAAAATTTAGAGACAATCACGGTTGAAATTACCAAACCAAAGGCAAAACCGTTTTTTTTTAAGTACATGGTACAGGCCTCCAAATATGCCTGTAAATATATTTATAGATTACGAATTGATTATCCAAAAAATGGATCATGAAAATAAGGAAATTATTTGTATTGGTGATTTCAATTGTGATTGGTTGTCTCCAGAAAAAAGTGAAACTAAAAAGCTATTTGATTTGGCCCACATGTTTCAGCTTGAACAACTCATTAAATAACCAACACGAATTACTAGTCAATCTCAAACACTTATTGATTTGGCTTTTAGTAATCGGCCTGAAACTATAATTAAATCTGGTGTTGATCATGTTGGTATGAGTGACCATAGTTTGATTTACATTCATAGAAAAATATCTATCCCCCGCAAACAGCCTAAAATAATAAATACTCGCCAGTTCAAACATTTTAATGTAGAGGCTTATAAACAGGATTTAGCCAAAATCCTTCAAAACCAACCTCAAGATGGCGACCCAAATATACTTTGGGAGGACTGGAAAAGAAAATTTTTATTAGTGGCGGATATGCATGCCCCTCCAGTTACCAGGAGAGTGCGGAGTGAGCATGCAGGGATTTTTTAAAGAAAAAGTCAATCAAAACTGGATCTATTCATTTCTTTAATGCATATAAAAAAGCTAGAAATCAATTAAATAGTTTGATAAATTCTACCAAGGCCAAGTATTATAATGAAGCGTTGAACCAGTGTAGAAAAGACCCGAAAACAATGTGGAAAACTATAAATCAATTAACAAATACAAAATCCGAGACGACAAATATTAATGAATTGATAATCAACCAAGAAATCGTAACAGAACCAGAGAAAATAGCCGATTCCTTGAATACCTATTTTAATGAGATTGGTACTGTTTTGGCTAAAGATCTACCAAAAGGCAATAATTCATTTGAAACGTATGTCGTCCCTACCGATAAATCATTTGAAATTAATAGATTTTCATCAATTAATGTCAAAAACGTAATTTCGAAAATTAATACTTCTAAGGCAACTGGACATGATCGAATATCGCCGAAACTTTTAAAGGATAGTGCCGATATTATAGCTGAGTCCCTTACCGTTATTTTTAATAAGTCGATAGAAACCGGCATTTTTCCTGACGATTTAAAGGTGGCGTGCATATCCCCCATATATAAGGGAGAAAGTAAGACAGAATGAAGCAACTACAGACCAATATCTGTCATATCTGTAGTTGCTAAAGTATTTGAAAAACTACTTTCAGGACAACTCATGGAATATCTAGAAACCTATCAGTTGCTGTCAGAGTATCAAGCTGGTTTTAGGAAGAGA